CCTGCCCCCTTTCAAAAATTCTGTATTCCGGTACATCGTGGCCTAAAAATCTGTGAACCATCTTTCTAGACTCAGTTTGACATAAGGAATCCGAATATCACGTTCAAAAAATCGTAGGGATCAATGGAAGAAAAGCATAAGCGATTTTTTGAAAAAATTAGGGTTTTCGACCGCCCCTCAGTATTTCGCATTTCCCCCCCCTAAAACTCAATAAAATTGAACTAAAAAGGAGATATTCGTGATCAGCACAAAATTCTGCGTCGAATGATGTACTTTTAAGGGAAAAATGAAGAGTGCTGAAATTTTGAATTACCGGCACCTTACTTATTTTTAAAATAACGTTCAATATTCTAGTCTCACTTAAAAGTCCTATAAATAGAAGATATCCGATATTGAACCTTCAAACAGAAAATACAATAAATACAAAGCATCTTAATTCAATATATTTTACCACTAAAATTGTTCCGGATTTTAAGCTCTTCAGAATTCTCACCAATGAAAACATTAAAGAAGAAATAATTCAATATAAAATATCATAGATAATTTTTCTTTCTTGCCAGTTCTACTCCTAATATAAACGCATGAAAGCCTAAGGTTATATGAATATCTTGATAGACAAGGGAATATTGAAGAATTCTACCGAACCTACCTCTCACCTAATAAATCCTCGACAGTAACCACGACGATACAAACTGTGCAACACTCGAATAATTATGGCTTCTTCAATTATAAAAATTATTCAACATGATAATGGTGAGAAACGTTCTGAATAGAATTCAAAAAATATTCATGTCCAGTCAGTTGTGAAACGTTATGTTCATGATTTTTGTCCTCAAATTGGTGATGTTATAATAAAAATTTCGGCGGCGGCGAACGAAATTTTAAACATAAGCGGCGGCGCAAGGCGATACAAAATTTCTCCGTCTTCGGCGTGTAAAAATTGGTTATTGGCGGCGAATTTAAGTAAAACAACGTCCTCTTTCATTTCTGGCACGTTCATCGCGCACCAACCGTATCGCTACGTTGCCTGATACGAAAAGATAGAAAAGCGCTGCATGGTAGAGGCCTAAGTTAAGAACGTACTAATAAAAATAGTCAGAGAACCCTGCGTTCTCTGAAAAATTTTTCTCTGCCTTCGGCGGCAACAAAAGTTTAACGGCATGGCGGCGGAAGTCACAACAATTTTTCTCCGTTTTCAGCGGCAGCGGCGCACCTCTCTGGCCACAGTCTCATTGCATCATTCTTTACACCTTAACTTCGAGTAATGGTGTTACTGTATCATGACAGAAGAGTAAGAAATAATTGAAAGATTCGAATTGACACTGTTTACTACATTATCAGAACTAAAGGCCATTTCTACATCCTTGACGGATTATGCATAATTATACTTAAGTATTTGTTAAGCGTATTATTGTCAAAGCATCTGTTATAATTACTGCAAGAATTCCTAATGCCAAAACAAATATTCACTCTATTGATGTCATTCAATATAAACGCAAAATTGATCCAGATAGTGTAGAAGCACGATTGATCAGAAAATCCTTTGTGAATGATTACATCTAATATTTCGTTGCTAAATATTTAGATATGTAGATTCTATTTGTTTTACACCGAGCAATACCGTTACTCACATAACTACACAAATGCTTCAAAAACCTGATTTTCATGTAAGAAAAACAATAAGATCAAATGGTGAATTGATCGGCATCAGGCAACAACTTCCACTCTTAGAAAATAGCACAACCAACGACATTTCGCCTATTCGCTGTTTGTGGCACATACCTTTTAAGTTCATTGTTAAATCGAACAAAAACGCCAATGGGTAGCACTGTTCGATGCAACGCATCCATTTCTTTTGAGAGTGATTGATACATGGAATCATTTGCGTGACACATTTTATATATTTCATACAAATCAAGCCCATTTATGCCGTTCAATAATGCTAACATCATGTCAAGTTTCTAGTCCAAAAGAAAATGTTTGACATGGTCTTCTGTCCATAGGTCTACAGAATCAGGATAAGAATATACGTTCGCTGACTGCTGTTGGTCTTGTACAGGCCTAAAATGTTCAAAGTACATATATTTGTCTAATAAGGAATCACTCTCCTTCTTATAACTAACTTATCTTCACCCGTATTTTGGCGCTCTTTTTGAACTGCAACCATTGATAACCCATTCCCTTTTTGTGCAACCTCCTTCTTCAAGTCGTCATGAGCTCGTTCAAAGACTACTTTTGAAAAATCAATACTTAGCTCTCCGCTGACAATGATTCCCAGCTATTCATCGGCGTGATAGCGACCTTTCATTATCAACGAAATTAGATGTCGTCCGCATTCAAAAGCATAGTGTGCTTCAGATTAACAATAGGCACTTCGCTTATAAGTGTCAGACATACAAATTAACATCAAATATGAATTTTCAGTTGCATCTGCCATTGCTTGCATAATTGAACCAGACAAGTTATCTCGATCAAACCAAACACGATAGCCATCTGCTGTAAGCTTATCTTGTATTAGGCAACATAAATCTTTATCGTTATGAGAATAACTTATCATTATATCATATTTGTAAGTCGATGAGGCAAGGACTTCGATTACCGACTGATCACGTTCCTGCTTAGCCATAAACTGAGCTTTCTTATCTAATTTCCACACGATACCATCAGCTACCTTACGTAGATCTTGTTCATCGAATCTTAGCAACGATTTAACATGAGCCATGAACTTCTGATTTTCTTTTAATATTGTAGCAACTTCATCATTGAACGTCATTGTCCAAAGCAGACCGAGTGAATATTTTTGTCTTTGTACAACGTCGAATTTCGGCTCTGTAGCACAACGAATTAATAGAGGCAGAACATCTTGTGCAACCATTTCATGTTTTATTTCACCGTGTTGTGCAAGAGCTAAAGTACATTTGATGGTACTTTAAAAACAAACTATCTTCTCCTTTATCCGTTTGAATGCAGGCTAAATTGCTAAACTTACTTTTCAAGCAAATCAGTGTACTCCGTAATCGCAACTGTCGGTATGGATCATCGATTAATTTCTCGAAAAAAGTTTTAAACAATGCTGTAATCTTTCTTGGTTTTGTCAATGTTTTAATATCAGTTTCATTCATCAAAACTGCTAATATTCGATAAGTATTGAATTGTACATGTCCTGCATGTTTAGCATTGATATAACGTAGAAGGATTTGGCTTAAACCCTTCTGTTCAATTACATCTAGAAGAGTCGGTACAAATGTTCAACTGTATAAATAACCGATGCAATAGTACACTAAAAAGCTTGTTTCTTCTGTCTTAGCAAAAGATTAGCAAAAGATTCCAGCTAAAAATCATTATAAGCAGCTTGAACATATCTTGTTTTACTCAGAATTGTATACTGTATCAGGCTATGTGGCTTGAAAAGTTTTCTGACGAAAAAACAAGGACTTGGTTTTCCAGCGGACAGGTTTTCCAGAAACCTATTATCAACTTCTGTCATTAAACGACAATATGCACCACATCTAATAGAAGAATGTTCGGACTATTCAAAACAGTATTCAGATTGGTTTCAGCTGTTGCCAAAAAATCAAAAAGAAAGGAGTTCTTGTGATAATGACACACAGTACTACACAGATAATACCCCAACTCTTCTTTTCTATATCTTTAATGACTAGACCCACCTTTCTGGATGTTCTGATCAGCTGGCTTTGTAGAGATTTTCAAGGGCTATGCAATGGTATGTTTTCGCAAAATACATAATTTTTTATTATGGCAGAAAACTTACCAAAGGAGTGTTTAAAGCACTTAAATAGTTGAAAATCATTATATCGACCACGTATTTCAACTATTCGTCCATGTGGGCATATTTTTCAAAGACTTATTAATACGCAATTTTGAAGTCCGTAAAATTCTCTCTCGAATGATATATAAAGTGGCGTGGTTAACGATAAACTCGCTGGACAATATAAGCGATGAACGGTATTGACCTATAGATTTGTGGAGGTGGGGGCTAGTATTTCTAGTGTTAGGACACCCACGCCCCATTTGTTCTCAATATTATATATACCATATTGTAGCTCGCAAAATTCTGTGTCGAATGATGTACAGTAGTTGATGTTTGCTTTGGACAGAGAGAAGAAATGGGGAAAATATTCTAAATAAAGTTCATTTAAGGAGAGAAAAGTTTGGATGCGGAATTTTTGCCAAGAGGGCTGAAAATGGTTTTTTTGAGATACTAGTTTTAATCACGGAGAAAAACTAGATCAGACTTGCGTAAATGACGTTAGTTGACCCTCTCTAAAAAAGCACATCCAAATGTCGAAAAATTGATCCTACTGGAACAGCGGGCGCACGTTACTTTTAGTATTGCACACAAAAACTCTAAGTTATGTAGACATTTAAGTTTTTGGTTTCGAACCGAGAAAAGCCTTGTAATCGAAGCAGCTGTAACCGAGAACTTATGACTGCCTCTTTGAAAGTGAAATCCGAGAATCGTTTCCAAATGTTGATTTACCAATATCAGAAGTCCCAAAACAATCAATACTGTAGTCAATATGATATATGTAATCTAAATGTATGGATAAAAAATGTTTGATTAAGATAATCATAATATTCTACTTTAAGGCCACCCCTCTCTCAAAATCGGATCTCGGCTTCCATGCCACGAAATTGTATGGCATTTTCAGAATATATCGGTCATGGTATAGGGATGCTATGCTAAAATTTTCGGACCAATATCAAGACTATTTTTCAAGATATTCAAAAACTACGGGCAAAAAATAGCTTTTTTTTGAAACAAGAATTTTCGTAGAGGCTTCATCATAGACAATTATTATTTTTTTTTGTTCGATAGAGGACATCCACCTCTAGGGTGTTACAGAGTCCTTTTCTAAATTTTTGGTTTTCTTGCGGGGGAGAGAGGGCTTAGAAGTTCAATAACACCCTAGAGCTGGATATGCTCTTTCAATCAAAAAAAAAATCATCGTTGCGTTGTCGAGAATTCTTGTTTCGACTATTTGCAAAAGAGTGCTAAAACACAATTATTGTTGATTAAAAACAGAATGGGCTCGGCCATTTTTAGAATAACTTATAAAGTAGCTAGAGAGCTCCGATTTTCACCATTTGAAAGAGGAGACTCGAGGACATATTTCCATAAGCAAAACTTTTTCAGTCTTTGAAACAGATTTTCTAGGAGGTCGTTCAAAATATAGGCCGTATGTAACAGTTTTCCAATCGGATTGCATTGATTCTTTTTTACGAACTGATAGTCCAGGGCGTTCTCTTCAAAATAGGGGTCGAGCGAGATCTTGGTTCTCCACGGTTCGAGCCTTGCATCGGATTTCCTACGAGTCCCGGGACTGACACCCGGTGACTAGTGGTAGGCTTGAAAATGGATGGACTGTAGGTAAGCGATCATGCTGAGTCTCATGGTAAGATTTGTTTTAGAAAAAGTTTTAAAGAGCTACCCAAAAGTGAGTTTTACAAAAAGTAGGGTTTTCAGGCTGTTTTCACCTAATATTAAAAAATTCATAACTCACTCAATTTTCAACTTCAAATTAACTGTCTTCTCTTTATCTTCTCTCACATTTAGAGAAGAGGGAGTTCAATTATAAAGTTCACAGTTGCTTTTGGTCCACCACGGTTGCTTCATAATGATAATGGAAAGGAGTTTGTTGCAAGAGTTACAATTGAATTAAAACAATTGTTTCTTTCATGGTCACACACGATGTTCTAGCTTCTCAACTAATCACTCCTTCTCGAGATTGTGATTATTCTTTAATTCAAGCTCCTTCTAATACATCTAATACATCAGTGGGTGAGTATGACTTATTACCTAGCAGGAGAAACTAAGAGCAATATCACTTTTGTATTCCAGTTATTACCGGTTAACAGGGATAAGCCAATTTCTCATTTTTCCTTTGTCAGCACATTCTTGCATAATATGAAATTCCATATGTTTCGATGCAGAGAAATCATTTTCTTTCAATGTTATTATTATCAAATTTCGTGGTTCATCTGTATCAATTGTTTGCATTTCAACAGATACAATATAAAATGTTGAAAATGGTGCATACAATACTTCTTATTCATCTGGCATTACGCTTATATTACTTATATGTAAATCAGCGTTTGTATGACGATGTAGACCTGCCTGTTGTGAGGCTGTTACTGTATGAATATAAAAAATTGTATTTGTATGCAGAAAACATACGAGATCTAAAGATTTACTGGTTGACATGAATCCTGGAAATAGAATACCTTCATCAGACACATATTTCGGCAAGTCTTGAGCTGTCATTTCAACATTACGGGTGCCCGTAGAGAGCCGCTCGTTCTGTTGTTCTCATGGTGCGACGGTACAAAAAAAGAGATTATGTCGTAGAGAAAGAAAAAGGCAAGAACTCAAAGAAGATTGACATCTCCATTGCTACTGCGTGTTGGATTGTCGATCTTCTCGATCTTTTGTTCATACCAGATGTGTAGAAGTTATTTTCGTGTCAAAACGTATTGACTTTCTGAACAGCTTAAAAAAAGCCTGTTGAAGTACACCAGCATGTACACCTATCTAAGATTTCTCAATTTTTTTATCGCAAGATGGTAACAGCTAAAAATCGACATAATTAAGACATGTTAATCGCTCCTCATGTACTTGACACCGACCTCATGTACTTGAAATTCTGCTTTAGGTAACTAGAACTAGAACGATTTTTTCGTAAACTTTCATCTAGTCGTGTTTCATTTTCGCCGGATCCGCTGATAGGCCTTATAATTAATGAAAACGGAAGTTTGGCGTCAAACATATGAGCCATTGCTTTTTGTGCTTGTGGTTTATTTAAGAGGGCCCCCGCCCCCCACCCGTCGTTTGTTACCAGCTTGTAGAGGACACTTCGGAGTATATGTCTCAAAAAAGCTTTCAGTTCCCGGATTCGCAGTTTTTGATAAAAAAAATTTTGAAGTGTTTTTCGGGTTTTCTGCCCGATTTTTAAAATTTCAATAAAAACTTCAGCTTTTGGTATGGGGAGTTGATTCTGACGTAGGTCGATAGAGAACATTGACTTGTATAAGGAGAAAAACTTCACATCGTTGTCAAATGAAGTTTGACGGAGAAATTTAACTTTCACCTTCCAGAGGAAATTTTATGTATTTTAACGTATTTTGAAAAAGCCTTATGGCTAGTTTCGCCCGAAGCAAGCATTTTGAAACAAAACTCTGCATACAAAAGTTGTTCAGAATCGAATTCCGGAGCCCCTCACGAGATCTTTTTTAAAAATTTTCTGTTTTTGCTTTTTAAATTGAAAAATATGAAATTTTTAAATTTTTAAAAATGTAAAATTTAATTTAAAAACCAAAAACAGAAAATTTTTAAAGAAGATCTCGTGAGGGGCTCCGGAATTCGATTCTGAACAACTTTTGTATGCAGAGTTTTGTTTCAAAATGCTTGCTTCGAGCGAAACTAGCCGCAAGGTGGAGTGAAAAAATCTTCGCTGAGCCAAAAACCAGCGATATTTTCAAGTTTTGAATTTTTTCGTCAAGCCTTCCCGGTTTGTAGAGGACACTTCGAAGTGTATGTTCGGAAGTTTTTTCGGGTTACTGAAATTATTTGGCTGAGAAAAAAATTAATTACTTAAAACAATATTATTAAATTCTCGACTTACCAGACTTACCGAGCGACCAAAAACGAATTCTAAAATTCTTAAGCTAGTCCATAGTGTAGTCCGTGAAGATCATAACTTCAAAACCCGGTAGATCATAAGTATTAAAAGCAGCTAATTTATTAGACGCGTTGTCCGTAACATAAAAGCGTTGTCCATAAAAACTTCTTAACCTTCTATCAGTCGTCCATATATCTAATGTTAAGCTCAAGTAATCTGATTTCATACATATGTCTTTTATTTTTTTCATTATTTTTTCACTGTATTTTGGCAAAGACTCGCGACAAATGTTTCTTCTGTTAAGCGCTTTATATTTTTTTATCAACTGTTTTCATAAAATTTTTGAATTCAGCTCTATCAACAATTGATAATGAAAGACCTAATTCAATGATTAATTTTTCAATAATAGCCGCATTTAATTCTTTTTGTCTTGGATCATTGTCCAAATATTGAACAGCAACATTTTCATTTGATATACTTTTGATTCTACGTTGACTTTTATCTTCATTCTTCCAGGTTTTTTGCCACTCGTCGAATTTGGCTTTATGCTTTGAACGCATATGTCTTCCAAAATTCGATGTTGTTTTGTGTGTGTCATGAATTACTGTTGAGCACAATGCACAAGATGCTGATCATTTATTACGTTGAATCTCTGTCCTGAGATCGTTATAAAATCTTTTAATAATAGGTGGAGTGTCAGGTATTAATTCACTCTTGTTAGATTGTGTAGCAATAGACTCGACAGTAGCCAAATCAGTGTTAAAAAATAGAAAAATCGTTACAGTGCAGACTATTCAAAATACTGTCGCATAAAAGTATTTCTTTTTCTTTTCTTACGTCTTTTTTATCGTCCGTTCAGTATCGATTACATCATCCTATTTCTAACTTTGTATATATTGTATATTCTAGGTATATTCTATTTGTATATTCTAGGTCTTCAATCCTCTCTGTGACGCGATGTTCTACTTAGAATATTCTCAAATCTCTCTCTCTGATGGTATATAACAAATATGTTTAACATCCTCATAATAATGTAAAGTTGCACTTGACTGACTCGAAAGTGACTCGAGTCAGTTTATCAAGATTCTCGAGTCCGAGTTACAGAAAAATGCGATTCGAGTCGCGTCGAGTCGTGCACTCGGACTCGTCCATCTCTGATTCGGCTTAATACGAAGATCTGAAATCTTCTTTATTTCAGGATATTTCTCATTGAAAAATAGTGTTTTTCTCTAAGCTCTCGTTTAATAGAACTTTCAGTTTCGGCCTGCTTCGGATCTCAAACAAACGGTCTGAATTGGAAAAAATAGTTTTTCTTAATGCAGTTTTTTATGCTCTGTTCAAATCTGGAAGAACTTCAGCAGTAGCTTTATCCTCTCAAAAATTGAGTTTGCCGATGCCAGTTTTGGGGAGTGTAACAGAACACACCATCTTATTTTAAACTTGGACCGGAAAACGATTGACATCTGAGTTGTGTAGCTTCACCTGCTCTATCCAAATAAGGGCTAAAATAAAAAATTTCATTCTAGGTGAAAAATACAAAAAAAAATAAAGTGCACGGTTTTGTCGACTTCTGCTGTTTTTTTCCTGTTTATTCGGACTTATTTGTGCTTTCTCAAGAGTACTGCCAAACGTTTTAGTCTAGAGATGTTGAACTCTAAGCCAATATCGATTATTATTGAAAATATTGTACAATATTATTGGCTATTCAACAGTCTGCCGGTAATCGGATCCTAATCTCGAACTTGAGCCCGAGGGTTCGGGTTCGAAATCAGGCTCTCGAAACTTTTTCTCAAGCATTAGATGTATCACCCATCAGGTGAATTTTATTTTTGCATCTCTACCAGTAGATATTTACTAATGTGGAAATGAAAGAGGCCACTACTTCACTGGAAAAAAGTTCTAACAGGCTTGGGGCGGGTTTAATTTTGAAAAACCGGGATCGGAATAAGGATTCCGACAACCTTTTTTCTGTTTTTTGAGTTCGCGAGGGATTTCAAGTCTACGGGATCGAATCGGGTTAGGATTTGAACATGTCAGACCGCAGGACTTTGCTATCCAATAACACTGTATATGGCGGTTCTAAGAGAGTTTTGTTTATTCATGCGGAGGGTTGGATAAAGTCGACCACCGGATTTTAAAGCGGAAAATAAGAATCTATTAGTGTCTAAAATCTCTAAAAACGTTCTCGGAAGATCTTCAGATGTCCGATACTGCAATGCTCCATCGTCTCCCAGAGACAACAACTCCCAGATCTATGAAATCGGTCCCAACAGATTCTACATGGTCGATTGTGTATGTGGCAACTTTTCCTCTGATTATCTGATTCTGTTAATTTGTATGACACGACGTCCTCTTAAGACAATTTTTTTGTTGCAGTTTATGTCACATAAAGATGTAAAGATTCTAATTGTGAAATGTATATCGAAAACGTGTAAATATGTATGATGTAAAGTCTTTTTGTTAAGTTTTCTACGTGTATTACGGTACACATTCATGTAAGGAAAATGCTTTTGTTTGCGTGTTTAAATAAAAAAAACCATCGATTGACATCGCAAAGTGGCACCTCCTATTCAATTTATCATTAAAATTAATCTTCTAGTCACTAAATTCTTGTGAACTCAGCATAGTTAGTCATCACTTGTCAGTGGTATGTTAATTGTCTTTTCCATAACTGCATTAACATGTACGTGCTCCTTTTGATTAGGTCGTCCAATGAATACCTGACAGACATTTGTCAACCTTCTGATGACAGACAGAATGCAAAAGCTTGTTGTAGGACCCTAGGCTAATGTGAAGAAACTAGTAGTGAAGACTGAAACTGTCAGATTATTGGTAACTCGAGTCACAAGTAAATACTGGAAATGTTTCATCAAAATTTAGGATGACATTTTACATTTTTTCGTGCATGTAAGAAGTGCATGAAGAAATAATGAAAAGTCATGGTAGCTCGTCATTGTATCTTATCTTGACCTTTCTTTTATCGTATGATGACAAACTATTTTTTGTATAAAAAGCCTTTCTTCTTAGCTAAAAATAAGATAAGGACGATGTTACGTGTGAATATGAAAATAATATTTCATTTCTGTTTGTAGACGTAATTCCTGCTCCTTGTTAAATTCTTATCTTATTGTACACGTAAAGAAAATGTCATATGAATGGTTGAATCCTCCCAAAACGTGGCATGTAGATGATAACACAAAAACAATTACTGTACAAACAGATGAGAAAACGGATTTTTGGAGAAAGACACACTATGGATTTATTCGAGACAATGGTCATTTCTATTCAAAGACAATGACCGGTAATTTCACGTGTGAAGTGCTCGTCCGCGGTGAATATCGTGATTTATATGATCAAGCCGGTATAATGGTTCGATTAGATGAAGAAAATTGGCTTAAATGTGGTATCGAATTTGTCGATTCGAAACAGTATGCAAGTGTTGTTGTAACGAGAGACGGTTTTTCCGATTGGTCAATTATCCCAATGAAGGATAATTTAACTGCATTGTGGTTGCGTGTTAAACGGTCAAAAGAAGCACTTCACATTGAATATGATG